TCCTTTTGTAGTAGTCATATGGATGTCAAACTAGGCTGGCTGAGACCATGCGCCAGACGTGCGTACTGGTTGATATGTACGACTGACGCTCCATATTACCTAGATTTGAGCTAATGTCTCTGGTGCTCACCCGCTCGTGACCGAACATCAAAGTGTCCAACCTACTAATCGGTGGTCGTGGCTTCCAGATTTCAATTAGGTAAGTGAGACGCTCATGATTCCTAGTGAAGATAAAACGGCCGATCAATTCTTCTTAGGTAGGACTTGGACAGATTGTCTGATCTCAGGATGGCCATATTCTGAAAACGTCATAGGTATTTTCTTGACAATGCATGATGACAAACTGGTGCTTTATTCCTAGTCGTGGATTGGTTGTCGGGATTTCTCTGAGTTAACGCCAATCAGGTTACTTGTAAGAGAACAAATCAGAAGTGGGATCTGGTGTAAACTGCGTCTGGAAAAATTTCCACTGAAAAGTCAACTTGTTCGCGTTGAACGTTCATCCTGATTAGTTCACAATGTAACACAGAAAACGGCATTTTGCCTCCAAAATATTGTACCGTTTGAATGTGCAAAACCGTTTACTGAAAACCGCTGGCAAAGCGTGCAAAATCGCAAATTATTTCTAGTCGTTGCTCGAGGAGCCAGTCAACACGTGTGACCGCGTAATGTGGATCCCGTGATTGAACTATGAGCGGCGCTATATCTTGTCTAAGTGCGAGTAAATCACACTGCTGATCAGCCACTAATGTTCAAATCACTAGCCAGGAGGTCGCGGGTTCGAGACTCTCCGGAGTTTCGTGAGATGCGCACTGCTGATGATTCCCAATAAGGATGAAACAGCTATAGAGTGCTTCTCGGCTTTTCAGCACAGACTGGTAGTAGTGCTGTATGTGCGTTAATGTAGGTGCTGCTGGCCGGGGTTAAACTTCGATTAGGATTAGTTGTACTCTCGGGGGTTCCATTGGTTATTCTGTCAACTTGTGTCATAGATGATCACGTGACCTCTGAGCTTGGCCTCCCCTGGCCTTGCACATACTGGAAAGAGACAAATACGCTCAGCTACACAATTACAACAGTAATCATCCAATGGAACACAAGAAGAGCTGCGTCCAAACGGAAATCTAAGAAATTTTGTCCAGAATAGCTTGAAGAGGAAGGCAACTCCGCAACAGCAACAGCAGTATCTAATGACCAGATGGGTGATTTCCCGCCAAACCAAGAATATGCCTGATCTCACAACCAGATTATTAGTTCGGAAAGGAATCCTCGTAGCCCAAAAACCGAATGTCACTTTAAGAAAACTGACCTGAACACGAAACGAAAAGGAACCAAAACAACTGCAAAAAATGCAAGAAAGTTTACGTTAGACTAACTGGGATGAACGTATGCACACGAAGATCAAGAAGGCCACAAGTTCAATCTGGAAAACGCGGAAGAACACAAGGCAGGAAAGGAAGTTCCTGGTGCTATACGACTGATTCGATCAACCGATGCATTGAGCTGGATCCAAATTACACACCGTTACTTGTAAATGACCAACATCTCAACCGAAATATTTAAAGAGAGCTGAATCTCGGTTTGCCTGACCTAGTGCTCGAATGTGTAGGCGCCTCAGAATGCTTGTGTTAGGTCGACACGAGCTTGCCCAGTTGCCTCTCTTTTCTGTTCTTTGTGGATATGCGTTAGTGAGGCATCAACATTACTGATGACGTTGCTGCTTCTGATGATGATGATGATGGTGGTGGTGATGATGATGATGATGATGGTGATGGTGATGATGATGATGATGATGATGATGATGATGATGATGATGATGATGATGATGATGATGATAAGTGCAGGATTCCGCCCGGGGGAATTAACTCGTATGCGTATACTCAAGTCAGCTGGGCAGCCATCCCCATATTCATATATCCCAATTTCATAAGACTGTGACGGAACTGCAGCATGGGCGGCAGGGAACAAACGTTTTTCGCGATTTCTGACGGTGCTCAACTGCAGACCAGTTCAGACAATCAACTGACCAACAGCTAACATTCATGGGGTTTCGTATGATTACTTTTTGACGCCCAAAATCCGCTTGGATGCAGCAAACTTGTTCCATTTTTGTGAAACAGTTTAGCACTGAACTCTTGGCTCGTTTGGTGTTACATACAGGATGGATGGATGTGCTGTTGACTTCCTTGCGGTGTGCTCAACATTCTTTCAAACTCATCGGAGGTTGAGATATTCTCGTTCTAAATGCCTAGAACTTTCTCACTGACACTCATACTATCAGTTGTTTCACTATAAGGAAGATACCAGCTCAGATTGAATGCCATGCAACATATAAGCACCGCATTTATTTGGATCAAAATCTTCGACTACCACTGCTGTTAGGCCAGTTGGGAATAGACCATGCGAACCGTCAAAGTTGAATCAATGAAGTTTGGCGCTGTATTTTCACAAGACTAATTGATTGCTCTATTCTAAGTTCTATTCTATCTGACGTAATCGAAAAATCACCCAATCTTTTCACTAATTCGGAAGCAGAATACTACAGTCCCTCTAGAAAAGGACATTACGTTGCCCGTTCAACGAACTGGCCAAATTTCAGTCTGACTTGACCTACCACAGGCTGCTCGTTAGACTGTTCAACAGTGAAAACCTACGCCCAGCAAAATTTATCTGACGGTCAACTTAGAGGAGTTTGCAATGGGCCAGTGCTGACGAATTTCCGCAGACTAGATACCTCGTAACACAGATTATGCAAAGGCTGACTGTTTAGTTTGTTTGTGTCCTTTACGGTCTGCGGGGGAATTCCCCAAATAGGGTGCAAGGGTGCAACGAATCCTCTGGTAATTAAGCTATCGATTAAGATTCTTTTGGATACTGATCACATCACTTTGTTTCGTGATAACAATACAATCGCTGGAGAAAATGTTGTGAATAAACTTTCGACGGATGGATGGCAACGGATGTAACACAAACTTCCCTTAACAAGCTTTGAGATCAGATTTTGGTGGGAAGAACAGTCTAGATTGCTTAGATTGATCGATCAATCCCCAGTGTCAGTCTACCGTACAAACCGTCCATATTATCACAAAGAAAACTGCATTCAGACACTTCCCAAACAGACGGAGACACCGAAGGCACAACGGGATGGAAACGCATATATAAAGTGCTCCAGAGAAATGGATACCCGAAGAATTCATCTGGAGATTATTCAGGAAGCCCAGTACAGCACCACAAAATCGGAGCAGTCGGGACACACTCCCCTTCATCAAGTAACCTCTGAAGTAACGGCAACGCTCCTGCGCTAGCACAATACGACGGTCGCTTGCTGATCTTGGAAGCTTTGCGAAGGAAACTATCAAAACCAGGAGGAAAATCGGGTCCAATGATGAAGAACGATGTCCTATACAGGATCCAATGGAAGAACTGTGACAAACGATACATAGGACGAACAGGCAGAAGGCTCTCCACCAGAATATATAAACACCAGCTTGCTACTAAAATACACAGTCGATTTTCCGTCATCTCCGTGCACAAAGGTCAGGAAGGACACGATTTCGTCTGGGGCAAAGTTCCCATACTGGTTCAAGTAAGAACGAAGGAACGACATGTACTTATGGAACCTTGGTACTCCACCGCAGAAACTTGGAACAAAGGTGTATCAAAAGTGTATCAAAAGTGATCGTACTAATAAACCACTAAAAGCAAGAGAACGCCAGAACCAAAAATTTCTGAGCTGCAAAAGCCACCGGACAAAGAAACCATTCGAGAATCGGGAGAGCCAGACTAAACGTATCCATCAATTTGA